GAAATGGCGTACGCCAAAAAAAATTCAGATTTATAAAACCATGCGTACGCACTGAAGACTGAAGAAGTCTCTTGGAGGAGAGACGAAACGTTTCATTAAAGAAGAACCCGTCCAGAGGACCTATACTATTTTTTTTTCCTTTAAAGAAATAAAAGTATATTTTTTTAGCTTTAAAATGCAACAAAATAAATGTAAATGTAGCTATTTAAAAATAATTGGTAAAATTACAAATCCTCAAAAAACTGCTTTACTGTAATGAAGTAAATGTACTTAGTTAATATAAACGTCTGATTTTTAGGACTTACAAGCATGAGAAAAACTGTAATAACTGGATTGATATTACAGTTATAGTTATAATTTACAGCTACTTCACTAGCTTCCTGCCATTGGTCAGTTTTGCACATAAAAATCAAATTAGACCACTTTACAAATTGAATATAAAAATGTATAGAAAGTATGTTTTTAATGTCCTATTGTCTCTACTTATCAACTAAATCCATTTGAAAAGCTGAAGTGTTTTGAAAAACTACGTACATGCATTTTCTAAACAAGCAGTGGCCATTCCTGGTCTTTGAGGCCCTCCTGCAGATTTTAGTTGTTTCTCTGCTCTTCAGCAGGTCTTCAGTTTCTGAAGCATTCATTCATTCATTCATTCATTCATTCATTCATTCATTCATTCATTCATTCATTCATTCATTCATTCATTCATTCATTCATGTGTTTCACTGCAGATAAACATCTAAAACATGCAGGATTCTCCACTTCCCAGCTTATGTAATGTTTTTCTAATTCTTTAAGTTGTTTCTATCAACCCTCTTCTCTAAATGCTCTTCTTTTCCCTTCATGTTTCTTTCAGGTTCTTCTTTCACCTTGAATCTCCTTTTTTTCAGCTTTTCTCTGCCATACATCCTCTTCCTCCACTTATTGCATTATTTCTTTCCCAGTGTTCTCTGTTCCCGCTCCGTCTCTTGGTCAGCTCATATCCCTGCCTCTCTCCCTCTCCGGCTTCCCCGGTATAAGTCATGAAACTCTGCCTGGCCCCTTCGTTCCCCTCCTTCCCTCTCCCCGCTGTCCAATCTCAAATCGCTCCCTTGGCCTGCCTTCGTTCTCACTCCCACACTCCCCCTTGTCCTCTCTCCCCAGCCAGAGGTTAATACACTCCAGGATGGCATTATTTCCTCCTCAGCCCTCCGACAATA